TGCTTTACAATTTTTTATATGTTTTAAGAAAGTATTATTATTGAAAACAATAATGTTTTTAATCTTCTTTTTGGAATCATTTGTTCTTGAATAATTTCTAGTGATTTTGTTTCTACGACTCCTATTCTTTTTTTGTTATTTTTATTTTTAAGAAACATCATACAATTGTGTGAATCTAATCAAATTCCACAGATTAAAGTTGTTATGATTGTTCAAAATGTACTTCTATCACTTGGAACACAATTCATTATTATCAATTTTACCACTACTTCTTGAAAACACAGCATTTTTGTTTGAAATATATATAATACAAAAAACATACAAAAAAAATGTAACACTTGTCATCAATTTTATTTATTATAACTCAAATGGAAAACCTATATTACAATAAACTTCATATTTTGTTTGTGTTTACTTCAAATTATATATTACATATATTTTTTTGATATATAAATTTAGAGGCTTTGTATGCAAAAACAATACATCTATACATACATACATATATACTCTAATTATCAAGAAATTATTTAAAAAATCTTTATTTATGTATGTTGAGTATATATGTAATTTATTCATTGAATAATTTAAATTCAGTTACAGACCTGTATGACTTTTTGTTTCTTGATTAATCATGTTACATATTGGATATATATATATATATATATATGTATATGAATTTTTTTATGCAGTAATTCATTTTCAAGTGAAGGAATTCAAGAAGACAATAATGTATTACGTTTAAATGCTATATATATATATATATATATATATATAATTCATATCAATGAGACTTTTAACAGTTTCATCATTGAAAACTCATAATTCATTTTCTTCCAATATTATTATAAACTAATAGTTTTTAAAGTAAGTTACTATGTGAATTTTCATATTCTATTATGAGCAATGATATTGTTTAACTACCATACCTCAAAACCTTCGAATTTCCCAATTTTAATTTAAATATTTGATAAATATTTTAAAAGGAAATTCTTACCCATGAGCTGTTTTCTCATTTTGGAAATCAGAAAATGTTATTGGAACCCTCCAACACTGCACAGAATTGCCACACATCCATCCAAATTGAAATGAAGCAACACAAAGTATTCTTCCCTCATCCATCCATCATTCATCCGCCTCATATCCAAATCAGCGGCCATCAAACATGAAGCCTAGGAACGGGAATGAAGAATATTATGAGTGAGCATCCAGCACACATGATGAAGAGCCTCCAGAAGCTTCCGCATACTGCTGAAGTCAAAGTCAAAGTCCGCTTCCTGTGCAGTAGTTTTCAGGCTTAATTTTGCCAATGGCATCTCGAACATTCCATTCAGCAGTATGCGTACCTTGTCTAATGAAACTGTACATATTCTAGTACGTACGCGTATCTGAGTACTCTCTATGTATTACATGTATGTCCCAGCAGTCGGGTCCACACACAAGTTCCTCTTTCTGTACACTCCACGATTTCGAAGATTCTGCACGGAATTGTCCTCCTCTCCCTTGGAATTGACTCCTCTGACCCCAATTCAGGGATTTCCAGCACAAGTTTTGGCTGTAATTTGAGTTTTGGTGGAAGGTAGAGTCTATGGAGGATTCTTTTTTTAGATTTGTAGGGTTTGATAAATATCTACAAGTTGGGCTGTTAACCAAACAATGGAATTCATGGTATTGTGAAGCCTCTGTTGTGGATAAGTTGGAAAAATAGGTTTCTCTCCGAGCAGACTTTTTTGAACTTGAATATAAATTAGGTTGTTCAGAAATTAAAGTCACAGAGTGTGGGTAAATTAGGGCCTAATTTCACATATTTAATGATTTCTAACAGTTATTTTTTTAAACCCATTCAAAAGTTAATGGCATACTTCAATATTAAATAATATAAAATATTGCATGTATATATATATATATATATATATATGGATAATTTCAATTTTTTTTATAATATAATAACTGAAAATTTAGTATTTTAATGTTGTTTGGCTAAAGTATTAAAAAAGTACTGATGACAATCAATAATTGCATAAGTGCCATGAACTGATGTTTAAATGGAATAAAACATTTTCCAAACCATGCATTTATTTTTTTCTAAATCATATAATTAATTCACATTAATTCACATTAATTCACTATAAAACATATTTGGTTTTGGAAGATAGCAATTTGGTTTTGGAAGATAGCAACTTTAGCAAAAGATAGAAGTTCGATCTAACAAAGAGAAAGGTTTTGGGTTTAGGGTTACAAGAGTGTCCTAGAGGTTTTTGATCCTAAATATCTCTCAATGTATCACTGTTTTTTCCATTTTGAAATTTTGACTACATGAGTATATCTCAGACAGAATTTGGAACAAGAATAATTTTTTAAAGTAGAAAGACGCAAATCTTCTAGTTCTGAAGATATGTATAACTTAGTAAAATAAAAATTTAACTTTGAAAAAACTTTTAATTATCTTTGACAATTTTATTTGATAGAAGTATATTTCTAAATTAAAAAATATCAATTAATGAGCATAATACCATACTAGTACCCCAAGGCATCAACTATTTTTGATATTTTTGTATATTCTTTAAAAACATGTATTGATTACACTCAAAAGACAATTAAGATTTTAAAGTGTTGCCAAAGACATGCATAATTCTGGTAAAAAAGGGCATGCATAATTATTATTTTTTAAAATTTAAATGAAATATCAAAGATATTATAATGTTAATAGATTTTGTCACATCAACACTTCTTTCTTTTAAATTGCCAATTATGCCATTTAACTGATGCATGTGGAAGTATTCTTTCAATACATAACATTAGTTGTTTAAATAAAGAGTTTGAAGTTACAAGATAATCGTAAGTAATATACCAATTTACATGGGTGTGATTTCTTTTAGTGTTAACTTTTTAAATTTTAACACTATTATTGATTCAAGCCCCTTATAAAGTGCTCAACAATTGCAAACTTATTAAACTCACTGTAAGTTGTTTCAAAGTCTAACTATTATTTTTTTTTATTGTTGGTTTTAAATAATAGTTAGACTTTGAAACTACAACTTTTATTGTAAGGCTATGAGTTTTACTGTACCCAAAGTTTTTAGTGGTTATTAATGTTTATCTTCTAAATACCAAAATGATTTTTTTATTTCTCATAAAAATTGAATTTTTTGAAGAAAAAAGTTCATTGTTACAACTTTGAGTAATTCAGAATTTATTTTATCATCATTTTCTTGTACACATTTAAATATATTTTTATGCTTCCACACTTATATGTTTTATATTCGATGTATTTTAAGTTGTTATAATTCTGAAACTTAATTTTTGGGGAAATTTATTTACTTTGAAGTTTTACAAAAAATACTGTTCTTGACAGGACATGTTTATTTATTTATTATTTTATCTTTTTGTAAGGAATGACTTGGAAACTTATTTGTTCCCCGAGATGCTGTTAATGGTAAATTTAGTCTTTACTTTATGAACCTAGACTTGGTCATTTTCAAAGAATGATTTTTTAGGGTTGATTTGAAATTGTTGAACTTGAAAATTAATTTTTATTTAGTAAAACTAAAAATGTTGAAGTTAAAAATGAAAATAAAGGTAGTCATTAATGTATCCAATAGTTTGTGTTTTTATATTACTGGTTTTATGAAAGTGTTAGTGAAGCTGAAATTTTCTCAATATCATTTGTTACATTTATAAATTTAAATACTGGAACCGAATGTGTGGTGACATAAATAAACTGTCACCTGCGATCAGAAAAGGCTTGCAAATTTACAAAAATAGCAATGTATTGTAAACATATAGTTGAGTACAATTTACAACAATCTTTAAAACGTCATTCAGATTGCTTGTGTTCTAAGATTATTACAATAAATTTACCAAGAAGAATAAGTAATGTTAAGCATAATCTGTATATAAATTAGTATCTAATATATGTTTTTTATTCATTCAAATGAATATTTAATAAAATAGTGAATATTACTTATAAAGTAACATAAAAAATAAAATTATGCTTAACATTACTTAATATTGAATTTTATTTTTAAAATTCAATATATTTCATCAAATTATTATATGTATGTATATATATATATATATATATATATAGAAATGATATTCCATAACACCATAATTTTAACATGTATGTATATATATCTCTCTATAGATACATATTTCTAATGCCACAATAGTCTTGCTGTTGCCACAATGACTTACCATCCTTCAACATATTTGTTTTAATTGTTTTAATTCTAATAATATAGTACTTTTAATATTTTTAATGGACCTATCTTATTTTTAGAATATAAAAAATAAAATCCGTTTAGAAATAATTAATAACATGTTTTTTTACTGTTTTTAGTAAAAAATAATTATATATAATTAAATAAAAAATAAATACATTAATATAAATAAATGATTGAAAGCAAAAATGTGCTTTTTTATTTAGCATTGACAAAGGGTGTGGATGGCATATGGTAGTAGCAAAACTGCAGTGGCATCAGCTATATATATATATATATATATACAGAGCTATGTATATCTATAACAGCAAAAGAGTAAATTAACTTTTGACTACTGTTGTTTTCAGTTTTTGTAAAAATTTTACAAATTAAAAAACACAAGTTTGTTTTTGATAAGACCAATCATTTCAATTTTTAACGTTTGATGCCTATTTAATCTAACAAAACATTATCCTCAAACTTTGAATAATTTTCTTTGAACTTAAATATACCAACTCAAAATTCTCAAAAAGAGATACATCAATTTACACTCAATATCAAGCAAGCGATTTATACAAGCAACATTAGAACCACAAAATTTAACGTAGTAGTAAAGTGCTTTCCAAATTACTGTCCTCAACTAGAGAATTTTTAACTTTCTTCGAACAAAGTAACGCATCATCACCATCACCATCACCATCAAAAAGAACCTTTTCTAGCGCGGTAATGGGGGGCACATGTCCACAGCAATGGGAAAGGGGCTCCGTCGGGTTCGGCGTCGGGCGTGTGCTTGTGTGTGAGAGAGAGTGAGCCGACATGATGGAGGTGGTCTTCACGTGCCTCTTGCGTCGACACAGTTGCTCGAAGATCGGCCTTCACGTTCCTTGCAAAGACCTGCCGATTGGCGGGGGCTTGGAGATGGCGCGGAGCAGCAGCAGCGTAGAAGGATTCTTGCAGTGACGAGCTTTGTGAAGCACATTGCCATTGCCAATTTATTCTCATTCGGAGCTTCGACGGAAATATGTTCATTGGAAATTGTTAGCGTCGTGGCAGGGGATTTCACACTGCGATCATTGGATTTCTAATGCGTATCCTCGTCGTCGGTGATTTTGATGTCGAGGCGGCGAGAGAATACGCGTTTTGATTCTAATCTTTCCTTCGGAAGTTTGTTTGAGTGATTTTGCGCCGCTTGAACAATGGAGGATGTCTCTGTTGTCTCATGTTGTTGTGACGATGACGGGAAATGCGGCCGTAGTTTTATTGACAAGATGTTGTAGGATTTAATCAGGGCAGTAACAGGGGGTTGCAAATGGCTTGTCCCGATGAATCACGCGATTTTCACGTTTCTGTGGGCACATTTGGTGTTTCTCCGCCTGTTTCACAAAGGATACACCTGATAATGAGTGTCCTTTTGCTGCATATGAGGTAACTTGTGATGGAGGCTGCAATTTGAGCTGGAAATGCGACTCTCTTTCTCTCATGAATATGGACCTGTATCTCATATTTCAGTTAGTCGACGAGTTTTATTTATTTATTTATTTATTTATTTATTTTCGTGTGTAGCTCAAATGATTGCACCTGGAGTTGGTGCTTCGTGGATTCTAGGGATATTTATTTTATTTATTTTTTGTTCTGCGAACAGAGACTCTGAGATAGAGTTAAGCACAGGGATAACTGCCATAATTTGTAGCAAATCATATGATTGGTTCTGTTTGTAATACTTGTTTTTGGTGATTCATTAGCTCCTTGCATGTGCTTGTCAACATCTCATGGACTAACAGCGCAGTTTACGATGCACAGCAAGGGCACTGATATGAGCGTGGAGAAATATCCATCAAGTCTATACACACATTTTCGTTGCCACTTTTGATCCTTCACAAGGGCGGGATGAGTACCTCATTCAACCTGTCCGCGCAGCATCCGGGTAGTAGTTCGGCAAATTGATTGCCGCAGTAGATATTGTTCTAATGATCGACTTTCAGTCCAGAGTTGTTATGGAGGTTTCCAAGTGGAACCAAACCAGGTTTGCGGTTGACTAATCGCACGCTCCGATTAGGCTCATAGCTGTGTTGCGGAAATCATGACGCGGTGTGTCCAGCTTAGTAAAGATTCTCCTAACTTGCTTTCTTGAAGCAGGTTCAACATGTGAACTGCAAAAAACGTCCAGAACCGGTCCCTCCCTCCTTTATCTCTCCTCACTGGGTTTTAAAAAAACTGTATAAAGTGATCAACAACCTGTAAAGCTTTAATTAACTGACTAATCGGTGTGACCCCTTCTAGTTACATCTCCTTTCACGTTTTATTCCCCTTCATGTGCCAAATCACAATAACTCCAAACTTCTTGTAGAATTTAACTTTCTGACAATCTTACATATTATGGTGACTGAAGCAGAAGCCCACGAGCTCTCTGACATGACGACGGCCTGCAGAATGGTTGCCTCCCAGCGAAGCAAGTGTCAATCGCTAAGTTCCTGGCAGCAAGTGTCGCATTCTTTCGTGAATGCCACGCGCGGAACCACGCGTAGGCCCATTGAACTGTGGGTATTGCGTGCGGGACTGAGCGAGGGGTGAGAACCGTGCGTAGAATGGCGGTCAGTGTCGTTTCCTTGTTAAGATTCTGCTGCTCAGATTCTCCGCCTCCTCCTTCCTCAAATTTTCCTAACAACGTCCGATTGATGAATTAGTGCTTGGATTGGTTGATTTGTGGATGCTGTTGGAAATTGGTTAGCAGAGAGGGCTTAGGGTTTTTGATTTGCAGCGCAGATGAATGTGGAGGATAATTGAGGAGATATGGCGAGTAGAATCGAGGGTTACTTGTATAATTTCGGGCCTAGCCGGCAAGGAGGAGTGTACTGCATTCTCACATTCTGCGTCTTATCGGGTCGTCATTTCTCGCAGTGGCGGCAGAAAGGAGATCTGGTCAGTAGCGTATTTCCTTCGATTCGGTTAGATCAATCTTCTCGAAATTTTTGAGAGTGTTTGCACGCGTGGTCATGTTGAAGGCGGATTTTTGCTGTGGGGAAGGAAGTCAAATGATGCTAACCTCGCTTTATTTTTCTTCCTGTTGAATGTAACTAAGGTATTGCGAAAAAAGATTTTAACTTGTAGTGCGGAGTGTCTACTGAAATCATGGAGTCTGCTATCTTACTGTTATTGCTGTTGATTCGAAATCTGTAGTTTGCTACATTGCGAAATTCAGCAAGTTCAGTTCATAAACCTGGTTCTGTGTAATGTTTGATTACTGGAATTGTGATACAGATCACCACACTAGTTGAATGTTGTAGTTGGTATTTAAAGAAGAGGTTTAATGGCCTTTTAGCCATTCAAAGTTGGATGAGTTTTTCAATCATTGGGCGTGAAGCTAAGATTTTTACCGCTTGACCTCAATTGTGTAGTGCTTGGGTGATTGCTATACCAGCACAACCCAAGCGCGCATGCTTCCTACCAGGACCGTGCGTTTAAGTCAGAATTGATGCTGCAGTTAAGAATTGCAGATGTGCGTATGTATTGAGGAAATCTTTCGTTGCGGATACTTCAATAAAAAAACGCACAACTCCAATCCTCAGAGAGCTTTGGACTTGAGCTGCAAATTCCTAATTGATTCCTGTTTATCTATGTTTTGGTCAAGATTTTGTCATTGAAATTTAAATGCTAAATTGATAGCTTCTGTTAACAGGTCGCATTGCGATCCGGAATCCTTGATGTGGATCATCGTGTTGAGGACACCGGCAGGCAGGTTATAAACGGCAAGGTATATTTCTGTTCTTATTCAAGTGTATACTCATATTTGAAGCTGCTTTCGTTAAATAGTTCTTGAACCTTGTCGTGATTGCAGAAATTTAGGGTAATAGCAATGCCGACCACTATTATATGCATCGCTGTATTGACAGCATGTTTTTGCATTGTGGCGGAGTCGCGCTTCCTAAAGGTTGTGCAGTCCTTACGCTGCATAACATGATACTTCCATTTTGTTGGTGTACATGTTGGGCACAAAAGCAGACCCTGTTGGTTGTTTGATGCTGAAGTACTGAAACCGTCTGTTTATTTTCAGACTTTGTATACACTACGCCTTTACAATTCAAAGGATCCTAAGAAGGAAGTCCTGGTAAATTTTGAACGACCAAACTTATCACCACACAGTGTTGACGTTTCATTTTGATGGTGCTACATCAATATGCTCTACAGAAATTTTTTAGCTGTGTGAAGAGTTTTCTTTAGCCTCGTTGAGAGGTAGAGTGAAGGTATTGCAGGAGCTTTACTGTGATAAAAATACGAGCTGAAAGGAATGTCGATGGTGCTGGTACGTCTTCCTAATCAACAATAACATTGATCACTAGGTTGGAGTTGTGAATAGCGAGGAGATATCTGAGTGGCTGAAGGCCTTCACGTCCGCCCTAGGACAGGTTTGACTGAACTCTACCTGCTGCCTATTCTGGCCCATTCTTTGCGTGATCATTATTGACTTGTGTATCCTAATTAAGTTGTACACCTGCAGCCATTGGATTCTTTTTCGACAGAGCCTTGTGCTACAACTTTCAGCTTGCCGTTTGCTCACTTTGGCGAGAAATTGTAAGAGTTAATCCTCTTGTAAATATTCGAATAGTAGAATATCAACTGGCACCGAGCATGTTTGGGCCTCTTAGATATGTAACCTTCGTGTTCACTGGAAGACTTAATCATTTTCCGGTCCTTGGAGATGATTATATTTTGATCTCCATGAAATTTAGTTTTGCAAGTAGATATGTCATACTTCAAGAAGATTTTGATTCTTTGAAATCATTAACTTAGTTTATTGTAATGGCATGCATGAAGCGTTGGCGACACAAGCCCAACTGGCTCTCCAAGTCCGCAATCCGAACCACTTATGCTTCATCGACAAAAAGAGGAATTATACACCAGCTTGACCACCATAGGTCATGGTTAGTACTTTTTCGCGTAGTGAAGAAGCTAATTTTTTTCCTGTTCTATACTCGGTAGTGTGGATTCTATTTTGTCCCATCAAGTTGATAACGAGAAACAGCAATAATCCAAAACACGTGTGATTTGCACTATCTTTTACGTATTCATGCACGCTGTTTGTTTACATTTTCTTCGCTGGAGATAAATGACCTTCAAGTACTATTGACATTGCAGAACGGTCCATTTTAGAGAGAAGCTCTAGCACTGTTGGGTCCTCATATCTTCAATCAGTAGATTGGAGGCTAGTGCGCTGCGAAAATGGTACACTTTCATTCGCTATAATGCATGGGTATCTTCTATACAAGATAACGGAAAAAATCAATTCAAGGTTATGATATGATATCATCTTTGTAATTTATTGAAGGCTGGTGCATTGAGAGTGTTGGTCTGGTATGCAGGATTGAGGTTTTTTCAAGAGGCATCAGACTTTCCTTTCATTTACAAGGTACTCTAATCTTTCAAGCTACTGCCGATGCGGAAAACTTCTGTTTTGTGAAATTTTCCTTGAATAACTCGCCTCACAGGAAATTTTATGTCGAAGGTTTTGATGGCTCTGAAAACGTGCAGTTACCTGTAATGAAAGCAGTTGGAGTGGTGAAGGCCTCAGCCGATCAGATTTTTAACCTTGTAATGGAGTATGGGCCAGAACGTCAGCAGTGAGTTTCTACAGCTTAGACTGAAATCGAAAAAATTATGGGATTTATTTGTAGCCTCAGTTTTTATGTTTCTGAGCTCAAACATCTTCCTATGTAAAATTTATTCTGGTTATTCTGTCGATCACCTTATGAGGGTTTTAGTGTCTGAAATTGTTAACTCGCTCCAATGTGACATGCAATTCAGGTGGGATCATACCTTTGAATCTGCATCTGTAATCGAAATTGTTGATGGTCACTCAGATGTATTGTACATACGTCTACGACAGGATTGGGGGTACGTATGAAATGTCTCATCTTTTATATCTTTTGAAAACGTTCATTAGTTTATCAAACATTCACTGTTGTGTGTGTCTTGTAGTGTTTTCTTCTTTACTTGTTTTCCTAAATAATTTTTTTTGAACTAGCTTTTCTCAAAATATAAATACTAGTGCAACATTCAATTTGCTATAGCACTCCTGGAGTATTGTCTGCAATCAGGCTGTTGCTTTGTTGTGTAGTTTTCTTAACCTATTATTCTTTTTTATTTAAATTCACATTCATGAATAACAGGTTCTCACGAGCCAGAGATCTATGCTTGGCTCGTTATTGGAAACGAGAAGAGACTGGTGCATATTGTGAGTGGTCAAACACACGTAACTCTGGAACATGTTTGCGGTTTAACATTGTAGTAACAGATAGGCATATGTCAATAACTTTTCATCAACTCTAAATGTCGATAGATTCATGGCAAGAAAGCCGCTTTGGGTACAGAGAGCAGGTATGCTAAATTATCTTGCTCCTTCACCTCATATTATTTCTTGCGAGATGTGATTGCCGAGGTTAGCAGTATCACTTTGTAATTTTAAGAATCCTTTTTACAGCAAGTTTGAGTAACCCTTTCAGTCTGAAAGTCTAATCGTGCAATGACGCATTCCTAATATTATTGTTTTACGCTCCCATCTTATGATTGGTGCCAGCTGTCTTTTATAGGTCGTTTCATAAGTATCCTTTGCAAGCTGGTTACGTTCGAGCTTATATCCACAGTAAGTCGCAGTCGATATCTTTCTTTTTGTATTTCAATTCAAATTGACTTGCACTTGTCACAAGTAGTTAAGCAAATGTTGGATTAATCGTCCTGAATCTGCTTTTTGTTTGACTATACGAAGAACGTATGCGTATCCTGAGCTTCTCGAGCTGCTTTACGCGAATATGTTCGTCTAAAAGCGTCCTAACTGGGTTTTAGGTGGTGGATACATCATCACACCATTGAAGACTACTGACGGTGGCAGTGAAAAACCCTGTTCACTAGTGGAGGCTGTTTTGGAAATGGATACAGCAGGCTGGTCATCGTTGTTGGGCGCGAGAATCTCTGGCTACCCTGCTTACCTCAGGGATTCACTTCTGAGTGTTGTTGCAGGTGTGTCTCACAACATTTGACACTCACATCAGTCAATGGTTGAGTCTGTGTTTTGTTTTTCTTTTCTTGCCATTTTGCTCACATATCTGTGTGTCGAGAAATTTCCATTCAACATATTGAAGTTATGTGATACTAACTAGTCATTCTCTTCCGAAAATAATGCTTGTTAGATTATTTTCGAGCAACAAACAATGCATGCTTTGCTACTCAAGAATTCTATTAGCTTATAATTGCTGACAGTACACTTTCTGAATACTGTCTATTCCCCTTTCAATCTGCTCATTTCTGACAGGCATCCGAGAGCATATTGATGCGCATAGCATCAATTTCCGTGCTACGATCATCAAAAGACATATCGTAGAACAGGATACAGAAGATTACGCGCACACAGCCAATCATGACCTTTCTGAAACTGTTGTCAGCAACGCCCCATTTCTCAGCACAAGTGATGACATTGAAGAGTACTTTGATGCCAACATGGACCAATTCTCAGAAAGCTCTGAGGTTGGACGTACGATGACTCAAAATATTCGTTGCTCTAGAATTAGCTGGAAATTTTATTTGTTCAAACAAGATTGATGTGATTTTCTGGATTTTAATTTTCGAAAGTTTCGAACACTAGACAATCTTTTTTCAATTCTAAGATCAATTTCTGAGAGTTGCCATTTTCGATCGCTAACAGGCTGGGATGTTATGCAATATTTCTAAGTTGTGACCTTTTCCACCTAGCAGAGTGTGTATGAGCAAGCGCTTTCAGCTGTTGAGCCTCCCAAGCTGCCTAGGATCAAAGTTCAATCAGGTACCAGACACTTCTGTCTGTCTCAAATTCAGCAATATCTTGAAATACGAATTTGTCACAGAACTCGTACACGTAGACGCTATCCGTAACTAATGGTATGAGTTGAAGGGTGGGGCACTTGAGTCAAGTAGCATATGTCTTTCCGAGCTCAGAGAGGAAGATCGAATTTAATGCGGCTGTTGTGTAAACGACACATTATGTTGTATAGCATGGGCGTGCAATCTTCTTGGTTTGTATATAAATTCTAGGATGTGTGATACGGATCTATTCCCAGTCAGGTTCTTAATGGTGAAAACAACCGGTTACTCATAGGACTAATGAGATCGATGTGGCAGAACTTGAGACATTTGACTTATCGAAATTCAGTGGAAACGTGGAAAGAGGACCTCTGAAAGGTGGAAAACATTCTTTTGCTGAACCTGACAGCAGTGCCTTCCTTCTGAAGGGCATTAATTTTCTTTCAACAGGTTCAAGGGTGAGTCCTCTCTTTCTATGCGATTCGAGTTGGAATTGAGTCTAATTAAGTGGGTAATTATTCAGCATATATCTATTTCTTGAGTTTCATTGTATAATGTGTGTAGTCCACAAGTACATCTATCATTTTAGTAAAAAGGATTCAGTAATTTTATCATGTGCCTTCGTTTCCGAATGTAGCAGGAAGGCTGCATTTATCGATTGTGAACATGTTGATGTTTTGTCCGTGTCTTCTGTGACTAATGATGTAACTTGGCGATGTGCAGGCACCTGCAGGAGAACCTATCTGCAAATTGTTAGGGGTGGACTGGTTGAAGTGTAAAGATAGAATGGATCATGTAGCAGGAATGCCTCGAAGCTTCGTTCAGGTGCGTTCGTATTTTGAGGTAATCGGAAAGCTGGTGAAAACTTGAAATATTTTAACGAGAAGAGCTCCCCCACAGAGGTTTTGTCCAGGAAAACCTCGCGCACTAACAGACTTAGTGAAATTTGTGATTTTTTTTTTTTTTTTTTTTTTTTTTTTGCTTGTGCTTATGATGATTTTGGAATGGTTGGTGTTCACCATGCAGAGAGCGTGCTCAAATGAAGGTCTCTTCTTCTTCATTATCAATTTGCAGGTATAGCAATCTTTGTAACAAAGCTTGTGAATGCAGCTATTATTCCTTGAATGAAACAATTTCTTTGTTTTTCACTAGCTTGTCGAGGAAATGATATGTTATTCGTTACTTGTTATGTATAATTCCTCAAATGATAAAACGATGTTATGAAAAAAGTACTCCAAGTATGTGCTCAAAGTAGGGAGAATTCTTTGCCGCCATTAGCTGGCTTCAGCATTCTTCACACAAATTCCGATTTATCTATCTTCCCTCTTGTTCTGCTGTAGTGTGGCCCTTAAGAAATTGGAATATTTCTTTTAGAGAATTCTTCAAGTGACATGGAAACTAATGATTCTGTGAACATTAGGCCGGTGCATGTATCTTGCTTCGAAGTACTGTTATTATCATACTGGAAACGTACTATTCCTTCATCGTTATGTTTTTTGTAGCTTTCTTATGCATTGGGTACTTTTGGAACGAATAAGTTGTCGGTCGAACTAGGTATGCATTTTCTCTTGACGTTAGATTTTATTTTTACGAGTATTACTCTTGCATTCTGTTTTAAACTTCGTTCTGAGTCTGCTCTATTTGCTTGCAGTTTCCTCATACTTCAAACTACAGTTTGGTCTTCTACTTCGTAACTGAGGAAGACATCACCGAGGGCTCTGTTCTTCATAGATTTATATCTGGAGACGATGCTTTTCGAAACAGTAGGTTTTCCCTTATACCAGCCATACCTGAGGTGTGTTTTCTAACGACGAATGACCACACGCAGCTGCATTCGTAGTTTTTAATCTGTAATACAGAATTTCTTACGCTTGATAAAGTATTGTTCGCGTGCGCACTGGCCAACTAGTCCCCTTGATACATATAGCAATCTTGTCTACCTGGTATGTAAATCGATAGCAAGTCAGCTCAGAAGGAAAGCGCTTCATTTTTTGGCAGGGTTCATGGATTGTAAGGCAAGCAGTGGGAACCAAAGCTGTTCCCTTGGGCCAAATTGTGGAAACCAAGTATCACGTTGGATTTAACTACATGGAGGTAGAGTACATATTACGATTTCAGATTTGATCTTTGAATAAAGTAGTTTAAGGCATGGGCTTGTTCAATGGAAGATGCCTTGATCCCACATTATATCATGATTTTTGATTTCATTTTCTCTGTTTTAATGTTTTACAGTATTGCTATCTTGTTTTGGTACGAATACTAGTCTTATACACTTGGATGTGTCATCTCAGTGAATCAGCGTAGATCATTTCTAAGGTTAGCTCATTTGGTTGTTTCTACAGATAGACGTAAACCTTGGATCCTCGGGAGTGGTTCGAGGAGTATTGAGCTTGGTTTTTGGTTTTGTATCTGCCCTTGTAGTAGACATGGCTTTCTTCATCAGGGTGTGTGGTCCCTGCGGTTGCCGGATCTTTCATCAAAGTTCACTGTTTTTCCCTGTGACATTTTTTTCTGGAAATTTCAAGAATGGGGATATTTAGGAATAGTGTATGTTCTTTGTGCGATGCGTTCAACTTTAGCTTGTTTCAGAGTTTTACATCAGCTTGCCAACACAGCTTGCGTAACACAGACTGAGGCTGAAATTGTATGATGGTTTTCAGGGGGAGACCGCAGATGAGCTACCAGAGCGTCTTATCGGAGTTGGTCGCTGCTCGCACTTACAACTAGACAAGGCCATAGATCTTTCTGCTGCTTAGTCTGGGCCCACAAAATTGCATAATAATTTGAACTGTACTCTCTGGAAAATGTGAGAACGTCTCATCCTCCTGGAGCTCAATATGCACCGCAAGCATTTCCGGATCGTCAAAGTGCTCATCGACACTTTCGACAGTTGTGTATTCAAACCTGTGCAATTAGGGAAATGGCAGGTTATGGATCAACTGGTATAGTTTTAGATTGTATACACGTAGTCATTCTTCTCATGTGAATAATGTCACATCGAAATGCCAAACTATTATCTCCAGGACCTTTCTTGAATCTTAAGAAATCTGAGCACCCCTATTTGCTTGTATTATAACAATCTTATTTTGGGATCCTATATTCTATCTGAAGGAGTAACTCTATACCATTGTGTCTGAACAAGCTCTTTACTCACATTCTTTGGCCCGGAAGCATTAACTACAAAGCATTTGGATGTGGATCAAGGCCCGAGTGGACGCCCAACGCAAGGTTGTGTCCTTACATGACGGTTCACGCACCTCCAAACTTTAGTCCAGAAGGGTTCAGCGTGGATAAAGAGAGTTCGTTGCGGCAAAGCACTCGAGGGATGCTACATGGGAAAAATGGTAGTCGAGTTTGCCCGCCACATAGATCGATTTCCATGCCCTAAGGCATCAAAACTTGAAAAGTAGATAAATGTCGTAAGAAGAGATGAATTTCAGCACTTTGCCTGCCAGATGCAATCAAATTCCAATCATGTTAATGATGCTTTGTGATAGTGTGTCACAAAATTTGAGTTATTTGCTGCCGAGCCTGACCTTGGAACTGGATAACCACCAAACTTGTGCAGATAATGCACTACAAGAGGGGAAACGAGATTTGAATTTTCAACTACACAACTGCTGTAACAATTCTAACGGTGACATCAAGTCCCTTTCCCAAACATCAACCGACTCCGACATTCGATGGTGATTACCGATGACGTGGGGGTTCTGTGATAACTTTCCTGGAAACAGAGACTGTACACCTGGATGTAGAGGTTGGAGGCCTTTGGACGGAGACACGATCACCCCTACATTCGCATTTATACTGGCCTTATTTGCACTGATCTCCACTTTCATACTTCGGCTCCGCAGTCTGTCTGGTACGTATACCTTCGCCAGCTTCATTTCAAGGTAGAAGGGTATGCCATTTAATTTCTAGAGGTTGCTACTCCCGTTTCTGTGCCCCGCCGCGGGTTTTCGAGATTTTGGCGATTGGTTTCTGTTCTGCTCATCGTTGCTGAGGTCGGTTCCAGGTTCAGATGTGGAAGGGATTCGTGGGAAGGATTTGTGGAGGCTGCAGTGCATTCTTAGGATCGGATATAGGGATTTTAGATGGGTTTTGTTTGCTTGGGGGACTGAGTGTATCCGTTTCGGAGTTGTTGGGATCAGTTGATGCTGGATCGTGATGCAGTGTAGGCAACTCGAATTTGAATTAAGCCTCCGTGGTGAATGAAGGGTTTATGAAGTGGTCTGTGACCAGATGTTGTTTTTCAGGGACTCTAATTGTGATATTTAGGTTCGAGGTTGATTCTGCCAATTCATCACAAATTCCGTTTAGAATTTAGTGAAACTAGATGACTCTCGAGCCTTATGCGCCGAAGGATGTTTGCTCAGCTGAAAGCTTGGTTTTTGGTTTTATTTTATTTTAATGGGAATGTATTATTGTATAAGAAAATTTGAGTCTTGTGTGAACTGTGTTGAAGGTAGTTGAGATGCTCATGATGATTCAAGAGAGAAAAAGTATCTTATTGGGATTTGATAATTTTTTATTTACAGATGCGGTTAGAATATCCGCTTTGACAAACGTATAGGGAAAAATAGGCTATATGAGCTTTCAATCAACGTTGATTACCGATCCCGGATGGGTACAGTCCGAATGGCTATATATTTACAAGATGAAAGTCTATACGTTCTGTCATAGGGTTCCAAAGTGAGGCTGTTCAATTGTAAGAGATCGGAAATTAAAGCCTAAGATGTTGTCGCAGAGATACCCCGAGAACTCGGTCTGAAACTGTCGTAGTATGTCCTCTATTGAACATTTAAGAAGAACATTGCCCCACTCTATTTTCCTGAAGAATGTGCAATTGTAATCGCGCTGATAACGGTGAACTTCTGTTGCGGAATCTTAAAGTTTGCAGTATGCATGTTAGCTTGCGAGTGTTACTGCCATCATCTATATCTAACATCCAGGTGCTGGTGGTTGGCAGCTTCCTCTTTGGGAGCCCTTGAGCAATTCTATTACAATGGGTTACGAGTGTCAACCACTGCTTGGTATGTTACTACGGATTCTTGTGTACTCTGTTGAAACTTTCTTGTGTGTCGTATGCATCCCACCTGGCTGTTCTCTAGGATCTGTATATATCTCAGAGTCGTTTCATCAGCAAGCGCATTGGATCGTATTTTTCTGTAATGGTGGGTCTTATTTTCTTTGATATAGAACAATCTTGAGAAGGTAGAAGAGCGCTTTCCTTCTTTGTGAAGGACCTTTGATTTTTGCATCATCTCCTGACATACATAGCAATTCTTTGCAGAGTATCGAACTGTGTCAGGTGTGGCAGGACCTCTTGTCATTTTAGAGAAAGTCAAGGTTCGTCATTTTTCACTTACGAACTTGTTTTCTTCTCCTGAATCTTTACAGATTGAATTAGACTGGCTCACACACCTTTGTATTGGATTTGGCAGGGGCCCAAATACCAGGAAATTGTGAATCTACGTTTGGGCGATGGAACACGCCGAAGGGGTCAGGTTCTGGAAGTGGATGGTGATCGAGCGGTTGTACAGGTTTGTATTTATTCTTAATTTCATAGTACTCTTATGACACATGAATTTGTTCATTTGTTAGAGGATTTGTGCGGTATATGATTTATTCAGAGGATAAGATTGAGAATCAGTCCGCTCTCTCTCTCGCTCTGCAGGTTTTTGAGGGGACCTCGGGTATCGATAATAAGCATACCACCATAGAGTTCACCGGAGAGGTAATTCAATCCTCTTTTTTCTTTCTTTTTTTGGAGGAAGTTTTTAACAGATTTCTCTTGCTTTATGCATGTTCGAACATTTATCTTCAAATATTATCATCGTTCTCTTTGGAATAAACTATGATACACAATTTTTGTGATAAGAACAGTTTTAGGATATTATTGTGCACTTAGCTTCTCATGATTTTACTTTCCTGCTCATATGAGTTTTATTGTCAGAAGGTTGATCTTAGCATGCGCGATGTTGTCAGGATACATGTTTTGTCTCATTGTTAACGTACGAATTGTACTGTTACTGTGAAGGTGCTTAAAACACCAGTGTCGCTGGACATGCTTGGGCGTATCTTCAACGGATCTGGAAAACCTATTGACAACGGTCCTCCCATTTTAGCAGAAGCGTATCTTGATATTTCAGGTGCTTGCACTCGCTTTGGTACACCTTATAATCGGTAACTGGCTGCAAAATTTTGGAATATTTTGTGCTATGAATTGCTATATTCGTTAAACAGTCTACTTGATGTGGCTTCAGGTGCTTCAATCAACCCTAGTGAGCGGACATACCCTGAGGAGATGATTCAAACTGGAATATCTACCATTGATGTCATGAACTCTATTGCTCGAGGTCAAAAGATCCCTCTGTTTTCTGCTGCTGGTCTTCCCCACAACGAGATTGCTGCGCAGATTTGTCGACAAGCTGGTCTTGTCCAACGGTTGGAGAAAGAAAAGAATCTCTTGGAGGTGAGGACCTTATGCATATTGAAATATGTATCAGATTGACTTCTACTTCATGCTTTTGTTTGTCTGCAAGCACATGCTAGGGTTATCATATTAGAACGTTTGAATGTTATTAATATGTTTGATATTAGTGTCTTAGTGTTAAGTACTGTTAGTAATTTATGGGCTAATTTTTACCAACAATTGTTTGTTCCTAAGCATTTGTTCTTTTATTGGTTTGGTTGATACCTTTTCTATAAGCGTGGAAGGCTCCTGAGTAATGATAAAATGTGTTGGCGTGTTCCTTCGACAGGATGAACACGGCGAAGACAATTTCTGTATTGTTTTTGCAGCTATGGGAGTTAACATGGAGACAGCTACCTTCTTCAAACGTGATTTCGAGGAAAACGGGTCCATGGAGAGAGTGACACTTTTTCTCAATTTGGTATCTCACTTTTAATCTTCATCTTCTGTTTAACACGGCAAAGATATCTTCACCGTGGTTGTGTTCCTAGTTCAGAACTAGCTCTTATTCCTTTTCCCTGTAACCATGTTTCCAACCCTCTCTTCGTTCTCGGTATCAAATTTCGTAAATCAGTGCTGGAACGAACATTTCGTGTTTTAATTTTGAATTTATACTGATTTGCAGGCTAATGATCCAACAATTGAGCGTATCATCACTCCTCGAATTGCACTCACTACTGCTGAATATTATGCTTATGAGTGTGGGAAGCATGTGTTGGTCATACTTACAGATATGAGTTCTTACGCAGATGCGTTGCGAGAGGTGCAAATTTTTCCCTCATGGCTACTTACGTTGATAGTTCATTAATAACTATTCATTCCATTGATAGGGCTTTTATATCCATTGATTAGTGCATTATTTTTGTGTATTCTTTATTATTATCTATGCTGCACTCGGTTACTTAGTTAATCAAGTATTTTGAAACCTCGATATCGAGGGTCTATGTAATGACGATATATTTTTGTCGTTTTCAATTACTTAAACAGGTGTCTGCTGCTCGTGAAGAAGTACCCGGTCGTCGTGGGTACCCTGGTTATATGTACACCGATCTTGCCACCATTTATGAACGTGCTGGACGTATTGAGGGCCGTAAAGGATCTATTACTCAGATCCCAATTTTAACTATGCCCAACGACGGTAATTTTAGCCTCAAACTCTTGCTGAATTTTTGTAAGATTAGCGCTGCCGATTAGCTTTTCCTTTAGTTCTTTTTGACCGCTTACAAGTGCCAGTCGCCCTACTATTTTCTTTCTGCATGAATGCCTTTCTTTTGAGCCTCTAATCTTCTTCTTTTTAATCTCTTTTGTCCCTACGTTCTCCGCAGATATTACCCATCCCATTCCCGATCTCACAGGATACATCACCGAAGGTCAGATATATGTAGATCGACAGCTGCAAAATAGACAGGTATTGATTCAAGCTTTGAAGCAGTGCTTACTGGAAGGTCTGAATTGGATCTTTGATATCATGGTGGGAGTTTTGTCTTCACGTCTGGTTTTGAGTCTTGCAATATACAAAGATGTGATCTGTCTCAATGTTGCGTCGTGATGCAGATTTATCCTCCTATTAATGTTTTGCCGTCTCTGTCACGGTTGATGAAGGTACTACACTGGTTTCTTCTGTTTTCTTTATTAGTCGTTTTCAGCTGGAACCCCGACTGCAGTCATAAGGAACCATAATAAGCATTCCTAACTTATCTGTTGAATATATAGCTGTTCGCGTTCACTGTTTGCTTTTTAAGTATTTCCCACTTAACGTTTAGGTGTGATTGAGTTATGTATCATTTCGATTTGGTTGGGACTAACTGAGTTCCTTCACTCCTGCAGAGTGCTATTGGACAGGGAATGACTCGAAAGGATCATTCTGAAGTCTCTAACCAGGTGCGTATCATCATCTTAGAAATTCGCCTGCCCGTTCCTGCTTGATTGCAGGAGCTCTTCTTGACCACGAAGTTCGAGCCAGATTCTAATTTTCAGTTTTATTTATATATCCCATGTCACCGCCAAAAATACATATTTTTTTTGTTTCAAGCATGCAACTTCTCAAGTGCCTAATGCCTATTACGAAATCAGGAATGGATAGGGAACTTACACCTAACATCATGTTTGCCTGTCCCAGTTGTATGCTAATTATGCCATTGGAAAGGATGTTCAAGCAATGAAGGCTGTCGTTGGAGAGGAAGCTTTGTCTTCAGAAGATCTGGTACCCTCGTGAATACTCCTGTGACTGCAAGCAGAACTCAATTTGTTCAATTTTTATTTAATCCATGCCGCTCATTTCCGTGCATACTCCGCTATGTCAACTCTATTTGTTGCTTACATCCTCACTTGTTTTGTTTTCCAGTTATATCTCGAATTTCTTGATAAGTTCGAGCGCAAGTTTGTGGCGCAAGGTCCTTATGATACTCGTGACATTTTCCAGTCATTGGACCTTGCCTGGTCATTGCTTCGTATTTTCCCTCGAGAGCTTCTTCGCCGTATACCAGCCAAGACTCTCGATGAATTCTACAGCCGGAATTCAGACCAATGAAGTGTGGTTTCGTTCTTGGGTATGCTTCATTGTACCCAGCATATGTGTGTTCCTTATATTACATTGCCTCACCCCGGCGTTGCGCAACATATCAATTCAGTGTCGGCTATCTTCTTGTGTACATACATACTGCAGTTGTGCTGCTACTCTGTTTTAGTCTTGTGCGGCATCCGACTAATTTAAAGCGTACGTGGTAATCCTACGTTTATTTCTATCACCAACTGCTTATAACGAAGTTTGGCAAATGTCCTGATGGAAACAATCTGTTCTGAAAATACGTGGAGAGTTGATATTTTGTAGTCAACATTGGAGTACCAGATGTTTCACTGTATGGTACGAAACGAAGAGACTCTCGTGTCTAATAACAAATTGTCCCAGGTTCAAATTATCCTGATCCATTGAAGTTTGAATTAGATTTTTTTTCAAATCAGTATATCAATGATTATGATCGAAGTATCCATAAGGCGTGGAACACTTGTTTTTTTCAAACCGGACGCATGGCTAGTTTGCTGTAACCTGTTTGAAGTGGGTTTTTAATTGTGGTCTACCGTAGATTAAAACTTGTGACGGACAGGCTGAAACCTTTTTGACAATGAAACTATCTTACAAATTCTAGAATTATATTTCTTCTTTTTGTGGAGGCACTTGCTCTCCATGGGCAGTGTATGTGCGCTATATGCCAGAGCACTTGGAGAAGTAAAGTTTTTGCAGTTGATTTTTGAAAAAATGTGTTGTAATGGGTTCTTGGAATTGGTAGACGGCATTCAAAATCGAAAGTGGAACTAGTAATAGTCTAGATGGTAGCTTTTGAAGCAATATTTCAAAAACTCTTCTTCAAGTGTTGAGTGGCGGCATAATGACAATGATTTCTTATTGATAAATATCACTACTTGTTTCAATTGTATCTCATATTGTTGAGTAATTTCATCTGTTGTTGTACAAAAGGAAAAATTTCAACACATGCTTCTATTTTAGTTTTGTTGTTCTCTTCGGATTATGCTAAAGATATTTATATATGTAAGAAAATAAACATGTTTACGGCAATTTTTAGTCATTACAAAACAAAATTTAGTCTTGTCAGAATCACAACTTTCGAGGTTTTCTCTGATTAACACAGTTGTTTTACTATTGCGTTTTTATTTTATAGAGTAGAATGCACAATCATTGTTGCTTTTATTCAAGAGTATATAGTTCTATGCTTAATTCTACTTATTTTATTCATTTATTTGGAAAGCTCAAACTCAATCTAATCTCCAAATAAAGTGATGGCAAGTCCAACTACTCTCAACTTTTATTGTCACACTAAAACATATAAGTATATAAAATAAGGAAATAGAAAAGAATGGAATAGAAGGGTATTGATTTGTGGGTGCCAGAAGCCCAGCTTCGTCTATACTCATCACGCAGTCTGCAAATTAGGGTTTGCTTTTCGGAGCCTCGAGAGTTGCTTCAGCCTTTACAAACTCACCGGCGAGACTGCGTATCTTCGATCGATTGCGTGCGTTGCTTGCGAGGTTACACAGCCTTTGCTGTCGAGGATCCCACTTGGGTTGGAGCTTCTCGGGCTTGGATCGGCTTGGTGGTGGGAGTGGCGATGGGGTCGCAAGGGGGAGAACAAATGCTGGAGTCGGGCCACCAGGACGTGGTGCACGATGTGGCCGTGGACTACTACGGCAAACGCCTGGCCACCTGCTCCTCCGATCGCCTCGTGAAGGTTTTCGCGCTCGGCGCTTCAGGAAGCACGCCCCCCTCGTCGGCCCTTGCCACTCTGTCTGGCCACGAGGGCCCTATCTGGCAGGTCGCCTGGGCGCACCCCAAATTTGGTAACATTCTCGCGTCGTGCTCGTATGATCGCAAAGTCATCATCTGGAGAGAAGGGGCTGAGAATGAGTGGCATCAGGCTCAGGTAGTCGCGTACCCATCTCTTGCATTTGCGTTGGATCACTTTTTCCTACCCTTTGGAATTTTGGATTTGTGGCAGATTTTGAGGTATTCAAGGGGAGAGTATAGAAGTAGGCAGTGGAGAGAAGAATTGGGTTGTTGTCTGAGGTGGATAATTCGGTAGCATGGTCGCAGGTGTTCCAGGAGCACGAGTCATCGGTGAACAGCATCAGCTGGGCTCCTGAAGTGTTTGGGTTGTGTCTAGCGTGTGGGTCAGCAGATGGGACGATCTCGGTTTTATCGCTCAAGGCCGATGGGTCGTGGGAGAAGGCGAAGATTGAGCAGGCTCATCCTGTGGGAGTGACGTCTGTGTCGTGGGCGCCTGCTACTGCTCCGGGCTCCTTGATTGGGGTTGATCCTGGGGCTGTACAGAAGCTGGCGTCTGGTGGCTGTGACAATACCGTCAAGGTGTGGAAATTCATGAATGGTAGCTGGAAATTGGATTGCTTCCCCCCGCTCTCCAAGCATGTTGACTGGGTGCGGGATGTTGCATGGGCTCCTAACCTTGGGCTCCCCAGGTCCACCATCGCTAGCGCATCTCAAGATGGAACTGTTGTTATCTGGACTCAGGTATTAGTTTTCCACCACCACGGCATTATGCATAAATCTTTTTTTTATCTTCTTTAAGCTAGTACACGCTAGAAATTTTTCATGACATGAGTGCGGTGTTGGTGTTGTATATTTACTCAGTAGATATCTAAATTCGGAAACCTTCTCTGCATGTGTACGTATGTTTTTATTTTTATTATAGTGTCTCCTGGTTTGTAGTATTGTTATAGCTGCTTCTGATCGTAATCTCTTGTCTCTATGGAGTACATTCTTCTGCTTCTTCTTCTGCTTTCCTCTCTCACCTTTCGATTTGTTTAAGACCTACTAAGGTTGTGGATTTGAATTTCAGGCCAAAGACGGGGACCAGTGGCAGCCATTGACCTTAAATGACTTCAAGACCCCAGTGTGGCGAGTAAGCTGGTCTCTAACTGGAAACATACTAGCTGTATCAGACTCCAGCAACAAAGTGACGTTGTGGAAAGAAGAGGTTGATGGAGAGTGGAACCAGGTTTCGAACGTGTAATGAGCTCGCATGTTGTTCACCAGCTCTGTTCATAAGTAAGACTTCAGTGCGAGCACAATGTGTATAGTAGAATATTTTGCTTACTTAATGTTGAGAATTTGTCATAAATAACCTGGAAGCAGCACTTCTTACACCAGTAGATCCTTCACTCCAATCCATACTGTTAATCTCATGGCGCTTGCCGCCATCCCACCTAAGTTTTAGTACATTGCATATCCAGTGCACTTTTCAATGCAATCGCTTTCTTCCAACTTTATTCTTTTGTCAATTTTCAAGTATTCTTGCCTCTAATTCTTCAAGCCCGACCATTCAAATACTTGCAAAGACTTGCAATTTATTACTACTGTTGACGAGGTTCCCGTGAAAATAGCACAAATTCAATCAAGTCGGGAAGCTAGTAGAGCTTCTACAAAAGTTATCGGGTCCCTTTACCAGCAAAGTGCGAAGATATTCGGTTGCCTATTCTGGGACTTATTATACATGGGTTGTTGGTAGGGCCTTGGATTCCCTCCCAAACTAAAGTAGAAAAAGTTCTCCCCCCAGGTGAGTTTGACTCGTTCTTCGGAATATTCCAGTCCAAGGAACAAATCAGTGACCTGTGCTCCAGATTAGGATAGAAACAATTGCTTTCCAGTTGTAACAAATGTCTGCAAGATTTTCACTCTCAATTAGTCTAGTCCACCGAGCCATTCGGTGATCGAAGTCACCGACCACGGTGAGAGATTTACACACTGGTGCCTTTGCGCTGATCTCATGGATGCATTACCCGCGCGAAATCTGCTATGGTGTCGTGAAGCTGCAGTTGCTTCATTTCCATCTTGGGCTCCGATGCCAATGGAACTAGGTTTGAATTAACCATCTTCCATTTCCACTTCATGATTGGGTCGATTGGTTAAACTCCATTGTGCTGTTAAAGCATTTGTACGCAACACAAGAAACAGTATCATACTTCATTGAAGCCAAATGGGGATCACCTAGAGTTTATATTTTATGTGTCAAAAGTTTGCTCATGGGCTTCACGTGTGGGCCTTACTGTAAGTTGTGAGACAGCGATCTTCTTTGGCGACTTCATATTCTTGATTTTTTAACATCGTCGATGTCTGTCCTTTTCCTCTTGAATTTTGAATTCTTTAATTGAGAAGAGTTTGTACTTACAAATAACAATACACTATTGCAGTCAGAAGTCAGTTGTTGGGAGAACAAAGAATTTACTTTTACATCCTTTCTAATTAAATGGTATGGATCAATGTGCACATGAATGCAATTATCCCTTCAAGACCTTTCACTATTTTATACCACTGGTTTTTCTTCAAATTGGTACGTAACGTTTAAAAATTTAACATAAACTGAGCAGTATCAGATAAAACATTAAGTTGGTAATCGTATTCATTTTGATTAGTCTTGAATGGACTGCTGAATTTCTGGTTTTATTAGAAAGATACAGTGAGTTCTATCTCTCGGAATGGAGGGAATCTTCATGTCCTAAATGCACAATTCTATCTTTACAAGCGAGACTACAGAGGTAGCAGATATTCTTGTCCAATTTTCTGGCGCCAGACCATAAGGTAGTGACTTGACTACCATGTCATCCATACAGTGTGTATGAATTTTTTAAAGAGGCGCGGATCACCCACACAATGAATGCCACACCAATAATTTCTCCGCCGAATCAATTCCCGGCGAGAGCAGGCACTTCTTATGTGGGTCCTTCGCAAATTAAAATCCCCTTCATCATTGCCTCGTTTGATCATCCCCAAATTGTCGATGTCGATGGCAAAGTGAAAGTGGGGAATTCCTCACTCCGACCAAAAGGAATCCTCCAAATACATCACTCATCTTTCCAGTGGAAGCAAAGTGGGTAAAAGAACATACATAAACAGTCTCACCTCTCGATCAGTAATCCACTGGGGCATCAAAGCTTCATGTGTCTCACTTTTCTTATCAATGATCGTTCATTGGCTTCAGCTAAGAAGTTCAGAAAACTACTTGAGTAAAATGTCGGTGGAAGCATACAAGGTAAGGTAGCATAAAAAAGAATCATGTAGCAACAGACTCGATGGTGTCAAAGTTTAACTAGATTCGTGGACGGAATGTGGCAAACAAATGCAGCGAAAGAATTGCTTCACAACCACGTTTATGTCACATGGCTGTGTCGTGTACCTGGAGAGATTTTAACTTTTTACCTTTCCTCAATTTTGGTCCACCTTTGCAGGACCGAAAGCGCCGGTCAGATATGGATATCCAATATGGACGAAGCGATGTAGATGCTGCAGGATTGGACCAATTCGAGTGACGAGAAAATCGGTTCGGATCGGATCGCGAAGTCCTTTTGGCAGTGATCCACCGTCCTCCCTTGTTGGGTGCGTCTCACGGCTTAGAAACCACTGATCTTTGCAGCTATAAAAGCAGATCTCCACCCCAGTTGTGGAGTACCCAGGTGTTGCGGTGTCCATGTTTTAAGCATCATCAGCTCTCCTTCGCACTTGTCTTCCTTGGGATTCATAAACTGCTGACTTGTACCTCGCCGCCATTGTTCTTACTTCGACGTCTGGGCCAGATTACTGCAACTAATCAAGGTACGCGGTGCTCAATTTGATAAATGGGGTTGCTAGTGACGAAAGTCGCTTCTCTAATTAGCTAGCCAGGTTCCTGTTTAGATGATCAGAACCTGATCGAGACTTTGTCAATGTGTAGATGAACTTCTTCAAGAAGGCTCAGGAGTTTGCCGATACGGGTATCGACCATACGGCACCACCAGCTACTGCAGGAACCAAGGATGCAGGATTCGGAGGCTTAATGAGCACCGCATCAGACATGTTCAAGGCTCAAAACGCGCCGACTGAGAATGCAGCGCCAGCAACTTCGCCTGGTGGCCGAGCCGTCCCAACTAACGAGGAGTTAATGGAAAGCAGCCAGGTAAACGTTGTCTTCAACCTTACTTGCCGTAAGCGGCAGAGCCGGTGCACCACAACAATGAGGCTCTAGATGCTTAACTCCCAAATCACTAATTTTTGTGACGATAATGTTGCTGAATAGTGTCGGTGAATGGTCACTGCAGGTACTTCTCGGTGCTGCCCAGGGCCAAAAAATTGAGAACACCAAGCTTGCAGGTAAAAAACTGCCTTCCTGTACAGCTTGCGTGGTCTGACAAGAGGAGGAAAGTGTTTTGCCCACTTTGTCTATGATGCTCTACGTTACAAGTTTATCACTGTGATTAAATCAATGCAGGAGCTGCCGGAGATATTCTGAGTGGGTTAGCAGCGTATGGGAAGCTGGATGAAGGGCAGTACTCTACATACATCAAGCAAGCTGAAGATTACCTCCAGAAGTACTCCGGAGAGGACGCACCAGCCTCTGTTGCAAAGGAAGCAGCAGTTACTTCTGATGCAGTTCCTGCTGCCGAAAAGGAGGCATCTGAGGTTCCGGTATCAGAGAAGGAAGTATCTGAGGTTCCAGCGGCAGTGAAGGAAGTATCTGAGGCTGCACCTACCGAAAGTGCTGTAGCACCTGCAGCTGACACTCCCGATCGTGTGGCTACTTCCGATGAGAAGGCCTAAACTATAGCACCAAAAGCTTACCCTGTTTCCCCTGACCTTGAGCACTGCTGCACATGTTTCGAAGCTTCCGAAACCCAAACTCTGCGTGGTTTGGATTTACAGTAAATCCTCCTCGGGCAGCTGTTTGTGTCTGCACATTGGAAAGCAGAAGTGAAAAGTTACAAGATTCCAGCGTGGAATGCGGAGAAGTTGCATGTAAATTAATTGTAACTCAGATGTAAGATTTGCCTACAATTTAGGTTGCTATTTGTAACAGGCAGGATATGAGAGTTTAGAATAAAGCGTGTCTACATCTTGCTTAAAAACCGTGTGCAGGGGTTGCTTGTACTTGTTACTCTTTTATTGCATGACTTCTATTCCTTATGAGGGCAGCATACTCCGGCCAAGTTCGTAAGTGTGTGAACTCGCACCTGATTAAGAGGCTATGCTTATTGAAGAGGGCGCCGGGATAATCGGAATTTTCGTAGAGAGATGATGCAAGTCTAGACGATGATGATTGTGCACGAAGGAAATAATGTTTAGGTCGTATCAAAAGTAGGGTGTTGGAGAATTATTAATACCATAAAAAAAATGAAACGTTTGACGAGACTGAAAAAAAAATTAAATGCTGGATATCACAATTGCTGGCTGATGGAATGTATGTTTCCATCATGGGATCTGCCTACTGCGATGAAGTCCAAGCATTCGTCCGTCAGCAACTGACGCCTCGAACAGACGAGAGAAACTGGATAGCTCTTATTTTCTCCTTTCATACTAAATCCATTTCTTATCCATTTCAACACTTTAGAATACAGTACATGAAGCAGTCTCAACATTCTGAGAAACACCTGAGAAAAGCTTACAGAGCATCCAAACTTGTGAATATTGTCACAGCCCAGTTCAGCACCAGGCTACAAATCGTACGTCATTGAAAACCTGCGAACTTCATCAATGCGTCTAGATGCACATGACTTCGACAAATACTCTTCTAAAAGAACTCACACACCAGCACCACTAGCAGTACAGTCGTTGACACAATGCGAATCCAGCATCCAACTCATACAAAACGTTTGAAGTATCAATACGTCAAAATTTTAGAAAATTAAACCGTAATCTTTTTTAAAATTAGAAGAAAACACAAAATTTGGGGTACTTGTCAATCTTACAATCAGTCTGGGCCTTACATCGGACTCCATATACAAACGTTTCAAAACCTTTCAATAAGGAGATTTACACCTCTACAAGTGGGGAACCCACACATGCTCCGTGCTGCAGACCACCCTCTGACGTCGAGCTTTTCCATAACCCAAACTGGACATATTTCGCAAAAATGACCAAGACTCTAACTGTTCCGAGCATATTCACTTCTTTTCGCTCCATTAATTTCACGCCTCAGAATCCTTGGCTGGTAAAACTGTTCATGGCACTCATTCACAACCAGTTGCCATGTGGCGCCCTGTAATCCACCACGCAAGGGGTGTTTACAACAGATCTCCAGTTACCCATGATCAGTCTGGTGCGCTCGACTGTGACGTACATATGATAATCTGCAATTCACATCATTGACATGTTGAAACAAAAGCACATTCGCCACCTCAATAACCCTCATCCTGAGCCAGCTTGGTCAACAAGGCCGCAAAGAGTTCGTCTCTCTTCAGTGCACGGGCCTCACCACGAATCCTCCTTTGCTCCTCATGCTCTCGCCACATTTGCTCTCTTGCGATTCGCTCCTGTTCCAGCTTCTCCATGGCATCTCTCCACTCCTGCTCCCGCCACCGCCGCTCCTGTTCTCTCCTCTCCACCGACTCTCTCCACTGCTCCTCCACCTTCTGCTGCTGCTGGAAAAATTCCTCCAACACTTCCTGCATGCTGTTGGCACGATACTTCTCCGCTGTTACCCTAGGCCGATTGGTGTCCTTCTCGCCCTTCCTTTTCTTCCTCTGTACGACACGGTCTTCTTCACTTTCCTCCTCATCGTCTTCATCCTCACTATCATCATCATCCTCACTTTTGACTTTACCCCTCTTGCCTTTCTTCTTGGCTCGAGACCCTGGCTCAGATTCCTGTAGATTTCTTTCTGAGTTCCTGGCACGCTCCTTGAATACTGCATCAAGTTCGTCAAAGAAAGGGCATGGCCTCCCATTCTCAGGATCAAAGAGGTCTTTTCCCTGCGAGAACTGTGCGTCAACACGCAAGACGATGCATCAGTATCATAGCCATACACATTTGTTCATTACTTCAACTGCCAACAGCATGTGGCGGGGCGCATTTATTTTGCACAGTAGTACAATGACCAAGTTTGAACAGTATTAACGCAAAAAATCGACTCTAAGATGGAGATCACGCAGATGATTTTTAGGTAAGCGATGAGGAGGAGCATGATGAAGTACAGACCTCATAATCTGGCTCAGATGTCTCCTTCCCCTGAAAGACATACACGACCACATAATTGATGAGATGTACGTAAAGCATGAACAAGTCATTCACTTAAGATCCAGTCAGTTCGAGATGCGAGATGATTTCACGTATATAAACAATGCAAAGGACATGAGAAACATCAAGTACTGATAAATCCTAGAAGATCTATGAAGAGGTAATATGGCGTGGACAGAAAGAATGATCCAGACTTGAGCAGAGAAAGAAGGATGAGATGATCCCATAGTTTGTGCATCACACTAACGGCAAGAAACCCAAACCGACATGAAAAGAAAGGCAACATTCTTAACAATCTAACGCTGCACCTAGCACTGTAAACAGGTCGATTCCTAACCGTTTCCTCCACCTACTATCAAGAGCAAGATATCAAAGATGGGCGATAAAGCCAGTCACCACTTAATTCCATCGCCACACACGGGAAATGTTCAAATTACGCAACAAGGCTGCGAGGGGAGATAGAATTGGATATGTGTCGAGAGGTAACATTTTGGGAAACGGGGAACAAAAGCAATGTTATTCAGAATAAAGTCCAAAACATTCAATCAAACAGCATTGACGTGCAGGATGCAGGCTTTGCGTCCGTATACACAACACAGTGGTATCCAGCGCAGACAAGAACCTTGTAACGGTTCACCAAGTTCTTCCATTTACATTTACATTGATCTGCGCTCCTCCGAAACCCTTTCTCCCTCATTTTCCTTTCAATCAGCTCCCACAGTGTCTTGTTCCGCTTGGTTAGTGTAAAGTCCTTCTCCAGCTCGGCCCGAATGGCGATGAACTCTTTGGTT